AACCCCTCACGCATGGGTCTATAAGTCAGCGATTCTCAATCTGTGGATCGTGACCCTTTGGGAGGGTCAAACAACCCTTTCATGGGGGTCACCTAAGACCATCAAAACCCACAAATATTTACATTATGATTCATAACAGTAGCAAAATTACAGTTATGAAGCAGCAACAAAATAATTTTATGGCTGGCGATTACTGTAACATGTATTAAAGGGTCACAGCATTAGGAGGGTTGAGAATCACTGCTATAAGTAAGCCAAATTAACTCACTGATTCACTAAGCTCCACCTGGGCAGGAGATTTACTTTGGTCTGTTGTTGGTCCCCATGTGAGGTAGTAGATATTTGCTTATGTTTTTCAGGAAAGGTTCATACAACAAACACTATACTGTAAGGCAGTGGTTTTCAACTTTCCTAAAGTTGTGAACCTTTAATACAGTTCCTTGTGTTGTGGTGACCCCTAACTATAAAATTATTTTAATTGCTATTTCAGAACTGTAATTTTGTTACTGTTATGAATTATAACGTAAATGTCTTTGGAGATGGAGGTTTGCTGAAGATGCTATGGCCCACAGGTTGAGAACCACCGCTGTAAGGGACCAAGAAGAGAAGCCTGACATTTCCCGGGATGTTACTGTAGCAGTCCAGGTGGGAGCGATGGTGGCTTAGTGAAGCAGAGGTATCTGGGAACGGCTGAACTCTGCATACAGAGGGTGATCGTCACGTTTAACAACCACCACGTGTGGCCGTAATCCCACTATTCAGAAGCCCAAGGAGAAAGATTGCCATGAGGTTAAGGTAAATTGTAAGTTCTAGGCCAGCCTGGGTTACAATATGAGCTAATGCCCTAGCCCCCTCCCCCCAAAAGAAAACAACAACAACAAAACAGAAAAGGCCAGGTGTGGTAGACTTTAATCCTAGTACTCTGGAGGCAGAGGCAGGCAGATTTCTTTCTGCCTCCATTCAAGGCCAGTCTGGTAACATGATTGTAACATCTACTGGAGAGTAGCATCGATAACCCATTTATTCAGTAGCCATCTTGTATTTCAAATGAGATCTGATAATTATGACATAAAGTGAAAGACAAGCGTCCAAAAGGACCCCAAGGCTCCCAGCCTGAGAAACGAGAGCAGGGCAGTGTCACTGAGCCGGGAGACGGTGAGAGAGCCTGTGTGGAGGGACAGGTCAGGGTTTGCACACACTGATTTTGAAATGTTAGTGAGACGTCTCAACAGGGAGGTCAGAGCTCTTCACAGACGAATCTGAAGGTCAAGAGAGATCAAGGCTGCCAATGAAACTTCGAGCATTGTGGCTGTAGAAAGGGTTCAAAGCTGTGAGACTACTCACTGCCTCCTGGGCCTGGAGTCTAGCCAAAGAAGACGACCTTTTGGAGAAAGGACACCTCCAGAGTTGAGAGACTGGGGAACCAGTAGCAATGGGCTGAAGTCAGAAGAAGTGGTACCCTAGGCACCCTGGACACCAAGTAGAATAAAATCTGTTGACTTTTTCTAAAATTCTAATTTAGAAAATTAAAACCACAGTAACAACAGAACATCAATCAACTCATTATCAAAGTATGACATTTGTACTGGGGGTGGATAGCACAGCAATGCAACTAAATTGTTACCCCAAATGGAGGGACACAGATAACAAAGATCCCCTTACCTAATACTACATCAGGCGAGCTAATTCCACCAGTGTGGGCCCACCCCACACTTCTGTTGAGACTAGACAAGTCCTCTGCAGCTTATAGGGGCTGCAATGTTTGAGCGAGCCTTATCTATTTCCATCTGCCTCGTCAACCACTTTCCCTGTGTTGGTGACCCTCAAGGCTCCACAGCGGGCTGCAAACCTTCCTTGGTCCACTTCTTTCCACCAGCCTGCCTCCCGGTGGTCTTTGATTCACACGATCCTCATATTAAACATTTCCAAGCCAGAATTGATCTTTTCTTTCTGTTAGACCATCTCAGATCATCTTCCTAATCTCGATGAATGACTGACATTTACAGTCACCCCCAAAAGAAACTTGAGAATTGCAATAGACCCCTCCCTCTTTTCTCTCACTCCTACATGACTTTGGAGTCAAGCCTAGGACCTCATAGTTTCAACACAACCCAAACAGTATACACCCCACGGCCATTGCAGCATTGGAACCATTGCCTTTTATCTGGAGAAAACACTCTCAGACTTTAGGTGATGCTTCACATTGTACTTACACCTCACCCTTTATATACTATGTTTTTTTTTCCTGTACAAGCATATTTATGATACTATTTAACTTACACATTAGGCACAATGAGAGATGAATAATGATGAAGAACAGTGGTAATATGCTACAATAAATGTTATATGGATTAAACAGGCACATCCTGTTTAATATCAGCACTCAGGAGACAGGCAGAAGGATTTCCATGAGTTTCAGGCCAGTCTGGTGTACATACCAAGTTCCAGGTCAGGTTGAGCCACATAGTGAGGTTGTCTCAGAAAGTAAAACAAATCAAGGGGCTGAAGAGACCGCTCAGCAGTTAAAAACACTTGCTGTTCTTGCAAAGGACCCAGGCTTGGTTCCCAACACCCACATGGTGGCTCACAACCCTTTGGAACTCCAGTTATGAGGGATTCAATCCCTTGTGACCTCTTTGGGCACCAGGCACACTTTGGTGCATAGACATACATGTAGGTAAAGCACTCAGTGATTTGGTTTCTCAAAAGTATCTTACTCTACTCTGTTCACTTAAAAAAAAAAAAGGCCTGCTTGACTGCAGGAAGAGAGGAGAAGGAACCGCAGAGCAGCCTTAGGGGAGCAGACACTAGTAAGCAGATTTGGACTGCCTTAGTGAGTTACTTGGACAAACAAGTGCATACAACATACATATATTTCAGGTCCCAGGTGGAGTGGATGGGATGCCCAAAGCATTATGCTATCAAAATAGCATCGAATTTAAACTTCATGATTTTGTGGCTTTTTTTTTCTAATTATCCACTTACTATTTCAGGGCTATAGTTGATTGTGGGTAACTAAACTGCATTTGGAGTTGTGGTGAAGGAGGTACTGTGTTTCTGTCTCATGGCCTTCTCCATGTATTCCCAGAACTGCCGCAGCATTCTGTCCCTTCTGAACACGTGCAGAAAAAAAAAATCTCATTCTAGAAAGAGAAAATTGAACAGTTCTTAAAAATCACAATCTCAGCCTGGCGGTGGTGGCGCACGCCTTTAATCCCAGCACTCAGGAGGCAGAGGCAGGAGGATCTCTGAGTTTGAGGCCAGCCTGGTCTACAATGTGAGTTCCAGGACAGGTCGGGCTACACAGAAAAAGTCCTGTCTTGGAGCTCTCCCCCTCCCCGCTCCCAAAATTGCAATCTCTGGCCTCACAGTACAGCATGTAGAACGGCGAGTGAAAACATCAGTGTCGCTCACAATCCAAGGTGGAAGAGTGAGGACAGAGCTGGACACCGGTGATTAGGGCTGAGGGGCCAGCGAAAGCTTTCATTTACTGGATATCCTAAGCCATCCTCATCACCCATGTCTTCCTACAAGCACTCCTCCCCCAGGAAATCTTTTCTCTGCTCCTGTTGTACTCTATGGCTGCCTTTGTCACGGCAGTCCTCTAAGCTGGGGATTTTGCTCAGACTATAATCTCCTTGCATTCTCATGGTGGAACATGGTGCCTAGCACCCAGCAGATTCTTAATGGCAGAGAGTGAACGCAGTTCCTCTTATGCAAAATAGGACGATAATGACCAATTTTTAACAGATCTTTGAAATGTACATAAGATATACATTATGTAAATTATAACATAATGTATAAAATACTCGTTCGCTCCCTCACTTCTTCATCGAACGAAACCTAAATATCTTTGAATGACATTCAAGGCCCCAGACAATCTGTTTCCCAGGCTGCCTTTTCAGGCTGTTTTTCCAGGCTGCTTCTGGCTATGCCTTAATTATATTATTTCCAGTTAAATAATATTTCAAACACACCAACTTCTTTCATGCCTCTCGTGATTTTTATTTTATTTCCTTATCAAAATGTCAGTATCAATAACGTTGACTATTACAGTAATTGAAGCCGTAGTGAGGAAAAAAACTCAAAAAACCTTACTTTTTACTATGAATTATTTTCCTACCCTCCAAGTCTTTCCACCCTAGTCAAAATTTCATTCAGTTACCAACGAGCTTAACAACATGGACTCAATTATACTGTCAATGTCCGTTGGGACAAGACTCTTTGGGACTTGCCTGTCACTGATCTTCCTCTACTGTTGTTCCTCTAATAGCTTTTTCCACAGTCACGGTGACTAGAGGACTCGGAGTTTTCCTGAGATAATAGGTGCTTGCTGCTTTTGTGTCTTTATACATGATACGTCCTTTGTCACTGATGCCCTCTTCTTCGTCTGCCCTGCGCACTTCCTTTATGATTTAATTCAGATGTAAAGTGTTCCGTGAAATCTGCCCTTAAATACACCTTGGCAGAATTAGATGCTCTTTCCTCCCTCATTATGCAACACATATCTTGTCACAACCTTCGGTGACTGTGCCTGTCACCTCCACTAATCTGTAAACTCATGCAGTGTAGGGCTGTGCTTTATCCCTGGGTCCTTCCCGCCCGGCACAAAGCGTGTGCTCACTGCTGATGGGCTAAATATATCAAAGACTAGCCCTCGGTGAGACCTGGAGCTGTCCTTGGAGCTGCTTCATCGCTGACCGTTAGATATACCGCTTTACACCTCCAGGCTATTAGCCGCTTTAACCTCTGAGGTGGCAGTCAGGGCTTGTAGGATGGCGTTTCTGGTCCATTTACAATAGTAACAGAAATTGAGAAAATGTAGAAAGCAAAATTAGAACAGTGCCAACTGACTGAGATTGTATAACAAGAACGTTTGCTTTCCATCTGTTTTATCCTCTCAGGCCAGAACGAATGAACCTGCAGGAGACACCCAGCTAGAGGCTCTGCACGTGGCGGGAGCTAAGGGGCCGTAAGTGAGAAAGCGGAAACGGAAGTGGGCAACGGCACGGGCTCCTGGGTCTCTTTGAGGAGGCCGAAGGGCCTGGGGGTTTGATTTTGGCGGGGAAGAGGTTCCCAGGTAGGTGACTGGGCAGTAATCTCTAGTGTGGAGCAAAGAGTAGATGGAGGAAGCCACCAGCAGCCTTCCCGCCTAACTTTCCTGTTGCCACCATTCAGCCTAAGCACAGAACAGGCAGGCCGAGGGTTCTGAGGCTGCCGCTACGGGATGCCATGCGGCTCTGCCCACCTTCCAGAAATTTCCTCAGTGAAGTTGCCCGCCTGAGGAATCTCTGTCTATTTTTGTGCAGTCATCAGACTGGGTCTCCTCTGTGACCCAGTGACCTGGCTCATTGTTCTGAACCTCCTATTGAAAAATCAAAAAAGGGGTGCCAGGAAAGACCCTGCCAGCAGAAGTTGATTCTCTCAGTCTCTATCTTCCATTTTTCAGAATTCTCTCGAAACCTTTGTCTTTCTTCCCCTCCATAGCCCTATGTGTTGTTCTATATGCTGTAAATGAGGGAAGCAAGGTTCAGAGATACCCTGATTTAGGGAATGAATGGACCTCAAATACCTGCCGTTGGAGCTTAAATGCACTGAGGCGACACCTGTCAAAACTGTGGTAGCCATTTCTTTTGGGAGGTAGGGTGGGATTGTGCCTTGTACACCTGTTTCCCTTACCTAACGGAGGTTGTCATGTAATAACCTTTGGGAAATAAGTGGCTCAGAAAAGCTTCTCTGCCTCTTTCAGTGTGGAGCTCTCGCCATCAAAACCTTCTTCAGTGATGCTGTATTCTCTGTAAGGGTTTGGTTAACAATACTGGCCAGAGTCTATTTCCTCCGAGCCAAACTCAGGTCTGTAGGTAGAACTGGAACAAACAAGAATGTGTTTTCCTTCTAGCGCTGTCTCAAATGTGTCCTCCCAGAGATGCCACTGGGTGCTCAGTTTCTTTCTTGCTTTTTCTTTCTTTCTTTCTTTCTTTCTTTCTTTCTTTCTTTCTTTCTTTCTTTCTTTCTTTCTCTCTCTCTCTCTCTCTCTCTCTCTCTCTCTTTCTTTCTTTCGTTTTTTGTTTTTGTTTGTTTGTTTGTTTTTCTGAGACAGGGTTTCTCTGTAGTTTTGGAGCCTGTCCTGGAAACTAGCTTTTGTAGACCAGGCTGACCTCGAAGTCACAGAGATCTGCCTGCCTCTGCCTCCCAAGTGCTGGGATTAAAGGTGTGTGTCACCACTGCCCGGCTCAGGTGCTCAGTTTCTTAGATGTTATTGTTATTATTGTCCCAAGTGTTTGGGTAGTTCCTCTGGTTGGTTGGTTTGTTTATTTATTTTATAGTCCTTTTTATTTTATGTGTATGGGGTTTTTTTTTCTGCATGGTCGTCTGTACACCTCATCTGTACAGTGCCTGTAGAGGCCGGAAAAGGTGTTGGATCCCTTGGAACGGGAATTACAGATAGTGTTAGCCACCATTATGAGTGTTGAGACTAGAACCCTGGTCCTCTGAAAGAGCAGTCAGTGCCCCTAACTGCTGAATCAGCTCTCCACGCTCTCTGTCTAGTTCTTCAATCCTTTATTTTCGATTGTGAAATCTGAAGTTTCGAAGACTAATTTCCCCTTCTAACTTAGAAGTGAAATCTGAACTGAAACGAGGCCATTTGGAGAACCTCTTCCAAATATCTACATGGTGGGGTTTGTTGTGCCGAGAGTCTCCACCCCTCACTGCGAGTTCTGGAATGTGTGGTAAAGGCACTGCAATACCTTTCAAAACAACGGCAAAACTCCATAGTTCAACTGGCCTCGAGGAAATTGTGTGGGATTGTGGATCACCAATTTAATATAACCTGATAAATGCTTTCCTGTCATGATTCTGACAAAATGGCAGGGAAGAAACAATGTTGGGGACAAGGGCGGATCCAAAAAGAAAACCAAGAGACGTCTTTCAGATCAGGTGCTCACTCGTGTGCACACGTGCATGCAGAGACAGGGAGAGATTTGACTTCAGCATGTGTTTGCTTCAGAAATGTTTAATCAAGAAAGTTCCTCAGCCAGACAGAAAGTTTTCAACCATAGGGAACATGATTCACACTTCTTCACAGAACCATATAAATGGTTCTCAAGAGATAATTACTGATTTCTTCAAAAATATTTGCTCAAATTCTAGGCTTTTACATACATGACAGCTCCAGGAGCTAGGTTCTTTTAAAATGTCATGTTTGAAAGTAAAAGTTGTCCCAGAGCAGGCTCATTCAGTCATTTGGTCATTCACCCCTCACATGTCATTCACCCCACCATGGCAAGGTAGTCCTTAGGTATAGGATTGCAGTGGTCAGACAGTCAGGTCAAAGCCCTTGGGGAGCTTCTAGTCTGGTGTTATTTGCCATAGCCAAACAACAAGTAGTTAAGTACATATAATTTTAAATGTCATGAAAGAAATCCAAGGGCCAAGAAGGAGCTCAATTGTGTGTTGGAAAGAGTATGATAGGGTGACCTTTATAGTGAGATGGAGTCAGAGGGGTAATGAATCTGGGGCATGAATTGCCTTCTTCCCTCTTATTTCTCAATGTGATGGTGACGTGGGCAGTCAGACAACTGAGAGTCAAGTGTGGAAACTTTGCTCCTTGCCGCTGATTTTGTCTCAGATGCCATATAGTCACGAGCTGCTTAATGACAGGCACATTCCGAGATATGCACTAATAGGTCTACACACACATAGGAGGTACTTACCCAAACTAAGATGGCATGACGTCACTCGGTGATGTAATTTTATGTGACCACAGTCATCCTTGACTGAAGCACCTGCAGCATATGACTTCAGTTACAAATCTCTAGGTTACCTCAGGGTATGAGCAGACAGCGTTTCTCTGTAGTTGAGTGTCTAAAACATAACAAGGTCACATCACTTACAACCGACGCCAATTACTTCATTCCTTATGGCAGAATGGAAACTCACTGTGTGTTCATGTCCCTGTATGTGAGTAAGTGATATTAATTTACCTATCTAGACTTTTTTCTTTGTGGCACTGTAGCAGTTGGGAAAGTATTTAGTTTTGGCATGGTGCTGGGCACATCCATTTTAAATTATTTTGGGTTAGAAGGCTCTTAATTTTTTTTCCTGGGCCAGAAAATGTCTAAGAAAACATTTCAAAAATTTAAGGATGCAGCTTATAGGAAAACTGAATAATGAGCACAATCTTTGCAAAATATAGATAGGTAGCTATAAAAACAAAAGATTTTAACAACTGTTCAATTCCAGCAAGTTATGATTCTAAAATAGTTTTTCTACAACATAGATTTATGAAGGCCCAGATCAATGTTTGCTTTTCTGTGCTGGTGTTGCAGCTCTGCACTGAGTGAGTTCAGTAGAGGAGAAAAAAGGACAGTGGAAACCAAAAGTTTTAATAGCTTATTGGAACCTTATAAATCATGTTTTTGCTGCAGGAGGAAGTCAGACAAAATGCTTGTCTTCAGGGTGCAAAGGAGATAATCAGAAAGTCAGAGACACACACTTCTCTTTTTCTTCATAGATATGGTCTCTTTCTGAGAAATATTAATTGAATTGATTATATTTCCTATCTCATTTATTTGAGAGTGCATGGGTTTTTTTTTATCAAAAAGAGACAGAGCAGAAGGGCTAATGATCTGTTTTTAAAAAAGGTTATAGTTCATTTACGATGCATCTGAAAATTATGTCTTAATCATGCACGAGCTAGGAGCCAAGGAGGTCAAGGAAACAAAACTAAAAATAACAAACAGTCGTTATGAATTTGATTTTTTTCTTTTGTGTGTGTACAGCTTCGATAGTAAAATCTGATTATCGTTCATCTAGGCTTCAGTGGGTCTGGATGCTCATCAGGGCTTGAAATCAATTTGGCACAGTGCCTTGGTCGCTGTCGGAGGTGAATCACCAGAGAAACTGCAAAAAAGTGACTCACCTTCCTGCAGAGTAATGAGAAAGAGGAAGGGAAGAGCTTCATGTAAATTATGAACTGCTAATTCACAAGCATCCTGCAGATTCTTGGGGTGCATACCCCTTTTAAGTTTTGGTGTGTAACCTAAATACCTTCCTTTTCTGTGTATTTGGGAAGCTGTCAGACATGGTAATCCCTCCAGGTTTCAGGGAATTCCACCACTTTGGCACTGTTGAATTTAAGTCCCTCATCTTTTTCCTGAAAGTGAGTAAAGAAAGGAATCGAACCTTTCTCTCTAGTTTGCTAGCCTGTCTAGGCTAATACACTGGCTTTGGGTACCGCGCGTTAGTTGTAAATCCGAGGAGGTAGAAGTGTTTGTCTTAGTGCTCGCTCCCTAGATGGACAAGAAGGTAGAATCTATGTAGGTTTGATTTAGTGCCTTTTAGAGGGAGCATGATTAGGGCACTAGGACGGTCTCACGCCGTTTTCATCACCATGTAAATGATCTCAGGACACAATGTTCGTATAATGGCAGAATATGTTAAGATGCCAGAGTGCAAAGTCCCCCTCAATACTAGTTTGCCTATTTCCCATGCAAGCCTTTATACTCACTGTATATTTATTTCTGCAGGAACTTTTGGGAACAGATACACTACCTATGATTCTTTGGATAAAGTAGGTCAACCCTGTGAGGGATTTTGTCGTGCTTACCCTAAGAACCTTATATAGTCCCCTCCTCCGGACAGGCTGACTTGGAAACTAAATCTAGATTATTTTTTGAGACTGACTTGGTCTCCTGTAGATATTTTTTTAAAGGAACTTACATATTTTTTTCACTTCCCTTGCAGGAAATCGATACTGTATCGCATGGAGATGAATCATTTGTGCTTGAGAGCCACAGAACCCGGGACAGATCTCCTGTGGGGAGCCCTGTAAACCAGCCATCCGGTCCCGTCACTCTCACCCCGCTTTACCTTCAGACTCAACTCTAGCTATGGCTTTCAGGAGGCAAGTGAAAAACTTTGTGAAAAATTACTCAGAGGCTGAAATAAAAGTCAGGGAAGCAACTTCCAACGAGCCCTGGGGTCCCTCCAGCTCGCTGATGCTAGCCATCAGTGACATGACTTTCAACACGGCCTCCCTCTCTGAGATCATGCACATGATGTGGCAACGACTGGGTGATCATGGGAAGAACTGGCGCCATGTGTACAAATGCCTCTCCCTGATGGACTACCTCATCAAGAACGGCTCCAAGAAAGTTATTCAGTGTTGCAGAGAAGGGTTGTGCAACCTTCAAATGCTAAAAGATTTCCAACACATAGACGAAGCTGGAAAAGACCAAGGTAACCAACAGTTTGTAAAAAATTAGACAGTGCTCCATGAAGACATGAGTGCAGGGCAAACCATTTTAAACCCTGAACTGGAGCAAGGTGGCTCTTGATTTTCACAGTGTCTTGTTATGTAGTCTAGGCTGTCCTAACTTCTCACCTCCCATGTGCTAGGATAACGGGTGCACACCATCGCATTGGGCTTGAACAGTTCTTAAATGTCCCTGCACCCCATTTCTTGACAGTCTAGCTCGCATTTCCACCCTCTGTGTTGAATGTGACACTGGAGAACAGTGCTTTTCCTAACACCCTGATCCAGTGGCACCTCATAGAGAAGCAGACACAGCACGTGAAAGGAGGTAGCACAATGGTTTGTATAATGATGTCACCATAACTCATAATTATAATTAGATTGGAATTTATTCATAATTTAGAGAAGTGTTTCTAAGGACTTTGGAATCTTCAAAGACTATTGAGGTGGACATACTTAACAAATATGTAGAAATTCAGGTCATGAAATAATTCAGGGTGTGGAGAGGAGATGACAAAGGGCTATACAGATACTGAAGTAGATTGGCACCAAAGTATTCGCAAAGGTGACGAGCCAGCATTCCTCTCCTTTGCATTAGAAACGTGAAGCTATAATTTGTGTTTAAAGTGATAGACTTTAAATCATGAAGAGAGAATAAAGTTCACTGTACTCTATGGTTACTGCATTTTAAAACTACATTTTTTTTTTTTGAGCCTGTCCTGGAACTTGGTCTGTAGACCAGGCTGACCTCAAACTCTCAAACTCACAGAGATCTGCCTGCCTCTGCCTCTCAAGTGCTGGGAGTAAAGGCATGCATTACACTACCACCTGCCCTAAAACTACATTTTTTAAAATACAAAAATTATACAAAAAATTTCTATGTACCTTTCTGCACCTACTTAGTAATAGCAGTCTTTCTGTTACTAACATCAGTGAAAGTTCATTTGCTACAGGTGGCAGCCAGTGTTGATAATGTTCCTAGATCATATGTGTCACACAGTTCTGTAGATTTTGGAAAGACATAATGTCCCGTGTCTACCACCCAGTACTAAACAGGGTGCTTCCACTTACTTAAGTGTGTCTTACCACCCACCCTCACCCTCTTGGACCTGGGTACCACTGGGCTTTATAGTTCTTCCTTCTCTAGATGTCACGAGCTTAGACTCATAAAGCTTCTTTAGATTGGTTTCTTTCATGGGCAATATACCCCAAAGTTCCTATATATTTTTCCATAGCTAGAGAGCTTGTTCCTTTTCCTTTCTTCTTTATAAAAAGTTTTGTTGGCATATAATATATATATATATATGTGTGTGTGTGTGTGTGTGTTTTATATAGGTATATATAATACATAATTATAAGGTTGTTTATTAGATTATTTTAAAATAAAAATTGTTTTAGAACATTAAAAAGATTGCTTTAAAAGATATATGCATATTTTTGTCATTTGTCTTTTATGTTCCATTTGTATAGATTTTTGAGTCAGAACCTCAAGCTAGTAACTGAGTTGAGTTGACCTTGAACTCCTGATCTTCCTACCTCCACCTCCCAGGCATTGGGAATAGTGGTGTGTGCTAGCCAGCTCATATTTACACTTGTAAGTGTGAAGTTTGGTGGCATTAATTACATTTACTGTGTTGTGAAGTCACCACCACTCTTGTTTAAACCTTTTTCTAAAAGTCACACTGTCAACATTAAGTAATAACTCCTCATTCCCATTCAATTAAGCTTCTGCTTTCTATCTGGATGCACTTGGCCTTTAAGTCCACTATGTGTGAGTGGAATTTTACTGTTCCTTCCCATCGGGCTTATTTCTCTCACCCTACGATCCTTGGGGTTCATCCAGGTGGTAGGATGGATCAGAACTCCATTCTTTGATGGCTGGATACCATTTTCTTTTCTATGCTTACCACATCTAAACACATCTATTCACCTGTTGATAGGCTTGTGGGGTGTTCTCCTTGTGAGCGCTTTGGAATAACGCTGCAGTGAACATCAGTGTGTGTCAGTGGGTCTCTGCTTTCAGTTCTCTGGGGTGTATACAGAACAGTGGGATCACTACAGCATGTGTTAATGTCAGCGTTTAGCCCTTTGAGGAACTGCTGAACCTTCGAAAGGAACTGAACCGTCTTACATTCCCATCAGCAATGCAAGAGGGTTTCATTTTTCCTGTATCTTTGTTAACACTTGTTACTTTGTCCATCTTAAAATTATGGTTAATCCTGCTGGATATAAAGTTGGACCTTGCTGTGCTTTTGATTCATGTTTGCCTGTTTTACTTTATATATCATATATAAAACAAATTATTGTCAAATACAAGACCATGAAGGTTTATACCTATATTTTCTTCTATGAGTTTTGTAGTTTTAACTCTCTGTCTTAATTAGAGTTTCTATTGCTGTGATTAAATACCATGACCAAAAAACAAGTTGGTGAAGAAAGGGTTTATTTGGCTTACACTTCCTTGTCACTGCTCATCATTGAAGGGAATCAGGACAGGAATGCAAACAGTGCAGGAACCTGGAGGTGGGAGCTGATGCAGAGGCCATGGAGGAATGCTGCTTACTAGCTTGCTCAGCCTGCTTTTTTATAGAACCCAGGGCCACCAGCCCAGGGTTGGCACCCTGGGATGACCCACAATGGGCTGGGCCATCCTTCATCAATCACTAATTAAGAAAATGCCCTACACCTGAATCTTCTGGAAGTCTTTTCTCAATTTAGCTTCCCTCTTTTAGATAACTCTAGCTTGTGTCAGATGGACATAAAACTAACCAGAACATTCTCTAATTCAAATCTTGGATTTTTGTTTAGTTAATATTTCTGTATATGAGAAAGGAGCTGTCTTAGTGTTTCTATTGCTGTGGAGAGACACCACAGCAAAAAGAGTTGACCATGGCAACTCTTATAAAAGGAAACATTTAATTGGGTCTGGCTTACTGTTTCAGAGGTTTAGTCCATTATCATCATGGTGGGAAGCATGGTGGCATGCAGGCAGCATAAGGTGCTGGAGAAGGGGCTGAGAGTTCCACATCTTAAACCATAGGCAGCAAGAGGAGATGGAGTACTGGGCAGTGGTGCTGTTGGTGGTGGTGGGGAGCTTAGGAGGTGTGGCCTTGCTGGAGGACGTGTGTCACTGGGGGAAGACTTTAAGAGCTTAAGACCTCACTCTTTGTCCAATTGACTCCCTCTGCTTCCTGCTTGTGGTTGAGGATGTGAGCTCTCAGCTTCCTGCTCCGACCACTGTGCCTGCTTGCTGCCATGTTTCCCCATCATGGTGGACTCTTACCCTCTGGAACCATAAGACAAACAAGCCCTTCCTTCTGCAAGTTGTCTTGGTCATGACATTTTCTCCAGCCATAGTGGTGAGAGTAGGCAGCCCTCGTTTTTTCTTGCTTCTAGGAGGAAAGTTTTCAGGCATTAAAATGATATTAGGTATGAATTTTCTTACTTTCTTTTTTGTTTTGAGTCAGGATCTCACTATGTAGCTCAGGCTGACCTGGAACTCACAATCCTCCCAAATGCTAGGATTACAGGTTTATGACAATGTATTGGTTCACTGTGGGCTTTTTATATTTGCTTAGGTCAAAGAAGCTTTATTCTGTTATTCTGATGTATTTCAAATTTATTATTATTAATGCTACTATAGTGTGTATGTGCCTGTGTGTGTGTGTGCTCACTCACATAAACACAGGTGCTTGTGTGTCATAGCATATATGTGGAGGTCTGAGGACAGTTCTCAGGAGTCAGTTCTCCCCTTCCACCATGTAGGTCTGGAGATCAAACTCAGGTCATCAGGCTTGGTGGACAGCTCCATTACCTTCTGATCCACCCCACCAGCCACCCTTGAGTTAACTAAGAAATGTGTTGACTTTTGCCAAATGCTTTTTATGCATCTATTGAGATGATTAAGTGTTTTTAAAATCTTTTCATTTTGTGAATATGGTCTAAGACCTTGATTTTCTGCATTGCTTGCAGAAGTCAGATTTAATCTTGGTGCATATCTTACTTTTTAAGTGTTTATTTTAGATTAGGTTTTAGGCTTAATGATGAAATTGGAGAACTCTTCATGAGTTTTCATCCTGCTGTGCTGATTCATTCAGAAATTTTTATATAAATCAACTTTTAAGAAGATTAAGTTTTTATTTGTTTATTAGACAAGGCCTTGCTATCTCACTGTGTAGTCCAGGCTGTCCTCCATCCTACAACCGGCCTGCCTTTGCTTCCTGAGTCCTGATAGAAATTTATTGTTACAAGGTAAAACAATACTAATTAAAATTTGCAGGTTTTCCCTTGAAAATTCAGAGCAGCTGTTTTATCACTGGCTTAAGAACTTGGATGTCTCCATAAAGCAGAGAGGCTAGTCCCTGCTCTAAGTGCTCATGAGCTATTCTGGAGAAGGGAACTGAAAAGAATAGAATTACAAATGTTCAGACAGATCTGTTTATGCATTCATTATAGCCTTTCCATAAGCAAGGTATGAGTGTGTTTAAATCCACCTTTATAAAGGCGTTTCAGATTCTCTAACACTTGAGCTCAGGACCAAATCTGTGAGCCACGTACACAACAATGTGAGTTCTCTCAGTGACTGGCTACCATTAAGACAGCAAGCAAAGCACAGAGCGGTCATGCCCACACAGTGCGTTGATCTATTCATTTTGGAAGGGGCACCAACCATTGAATGATAGCATTGGTGCTCGTCACAGTTATTAATTGAATATTTACCAATGAATGAAAATAATTACCTTGGGGTATTACTTTATCTTTTACATATCTCTCTTTTTATGTTTATTTCCCAATGAATGTTGTGTTGTAGAATAGTAGCTCTTGGCCCAATTCAGTTTTATTGAAATCCGCCTCTGGGAGGATGGTGGATGTGCCGGAAGGTGTCAATGATGGGATGTCTAGCTGAGAGTTTGGCTCCTAATCTGTCTTTGTACTTTTATCTAATTAGGCTTCAGTGTAGGCTACTCTCTCTACTAGCACTGCC